CATTTTTTGTCTCAATTTGATATCTGCAGAAAAACTGTGATGTGACTAATTATCTGTGGAATTCGAGTCTCTAAATTTGAATTAGTAAAATTTCACTAATTATACAAATACGTGTTTTTTTGTATTTTCGAGATATTCCTAAAAAAGTAAAAATACGTTTTCTGGATTTTACTCCCACTTTTCTCAAAAACCTGACGTGCTAGTCAATTTTTGGACCCTGGATCGTTTTCAGAGAACAAAAATACATTGAAAACCACTATAATGTCAGTAATAAAAATATATATTTTGAAAATCGCTAAAAGCAGGTTTTTTGGGATATTTACCCCCACTTTTCTCAAAATTCTCTATTTTTTTTTGGTCCTGCGCATAAAGGTCTTAAACTCCTCAATTTTTAACTTTAATTAAAGGCATCACGTAAGTCATTTTAAGACCCTTATGCGCAAGACCAAAAAATAGAGGATTTTGAAAAAAAGTGGGGGTAAATACCCAAAAATAAATTTTTCAGGTTATTTTCGACATGGTAGTTATTTTCTACGTATTTTTGTCCGCTGAGTACGATCCTGAGTCCTAAAATTACGTAGCACGTCAATATTTCGAAAAAAGTGGGAATGGCCTAAGTTTTTTTTATCTTCACCCCCCAGTTTTTTATAAATTTTTTGACGTTTTATGTAATTTTAGAATTTTAGGATATTTCTACTGATAATTAAGTTAAAAATACTTGTTTGTCAGTAAAGTATAACTGATATTATTTTTTTTTTACTTTGTTACAAACAATCAGTTATTTTTTACTGATTACAGAAACAAAAATCCAGTCACTGATTGTCAGTTAAACAGTAACTTTTAACTGATTCAAATTTATAGAGCATATGACTAAAATATTTGGTAAACATAAAACTACTAATTTTCGTCATTTAACAAAACTTAAAAAATTACATTAACTAATAAATTATTTATTTTTGACTAAAAATTAATCAGTACAGTTACTAATTCGAATAAAATCAATTCGAAATAAATCAAAAATGACTAATTTATAGATTTAGAGAGTTACGCTATATTTACTGATTGGATCAGTAATTACTAAGAAATAACTGAATCCATAATTTCAACTGAATGTACTGATAAAATTAGTAAAAATTCTACAAATTCAAATTTAAAAATTTGAAATACAATTTCTGAATAAAATTTGATATAATTTTTTAGTCATCGTTTTTCAAAAGAATGAAATTATAAATCATTCTCAGTAATCCAATCATAGAATTCACATTTTTCTGCGGAACTACAAACTTTCTAAATTTATAAAAAATGTCTATAAATACTTTTATATTTCTATAAGTATGTATCAAAATATCAGAATATCAAAAGTAAATATGTTGCATTCTGACAAATTATTTTTGGACACTTTCCAAATTCATAATTCTTGGGCGAAAAACTTATTGAATTTGATGTTTTAGAATTAAAAACAAATTTTAATTTTAGTCAATTGCGATTAAATAAATTTAAATTTTAACTCTAAATAAATATTGATAATTTAATAATTTTTAACCAATATTCAGTGAAATTTCACCAATTAAAATCATTAGAATTAAGTCACTGATTCTGAGTCAAATTCCACTGATTATCTGTCGAATTTCATTGATTCAGATTTAAAGAACAGTATAGTGTAAAAAAAATTAGGTGACCTAAATATTTAGTAGATCATCATTCTCTCGATTAAATTAATGTTCACACGATTATTAATTATTTCTTGACAACAAAATTACCGTAATGTACGACACACACAACGAAGAAGTGAGGGAAAATGCTATAACTCATTTTTCTCTATAATGTACAAGGTTACTTTCGACGAAATCATTTCCTTTTTAACGTTTCAAAACTAATCACAAAATTAGAGAAAAAATTTACCTTACCCCGAAAAAAATTAACAGCCACAGTCATATCCTGCGGAAGTTTTTCTAGAGCTTTACAAAAACTATATTTGTTTAAACTAACTTCTTTTGTCAACTAATTTTTATATTTCTTCCAAGAAAAATTTGAAAAAAAAGTTGACTCATAAAAAAAACCAAATAAAAAATAAAAAAATATCTAATATTTAATACCAAAAATAAAAAAATTACAAAATAATAAAAATCAATAAATAATCCAACCTTTTGATAAATATTTCAGTGAAATATTATTCAATACGAAATATAATAAAATAGAAAAAATAATCTAATATTTAATAAATATTTCAGTGAAATATTTCAATAACTATTTCAATAAATATTTAATAATAAAAAAAAAATAAAAAACAGAAATCACAGGTATTCTTTTATATCTACATAATATTTTTTAAAGATTAAAATTATAAAAATGTTTCAGTGAGAAAATAACCAACAATTATATCAAACGAGTCCTTGTAAAATAAAACTAATAATAATAATTTATAATAAATATCCACTTATGTAAGATTCATTATTTAAGAATGACAATCTTTTTTTACATTGATTATTATTATATTTTCATTTCACAGTGTTGCGAACTCTTTAAAAAGATATCGCACCGTTTAATCGAAATTTATGGTGCGCTAAATAGCACCAATATTGTGAAAAATAATTATTGCAATAATTTCAACTTTTATGTAACTATAAAATATAATACCCTAACATTAAAATTCTTATTCAAACGATATTATCAAATACATTTTTGCATGAAGAAAATTTTCCACTTGGCATTGAAATCTCCCTTTTAAGGTCTTAATATTGTGCTGTCCTACTGAATTTAAATTCCAAATTTGCTATTAATTATACATTTTTTTTTTCTAAATTAATTAGACTCATGAAACAAGAATATTTTGTACGTTTAATTGTAGTTTTTTTAATTGTTCAACTTTTTTGTATAATATATTCTTAACATTGCAGAAAGATTTTTTTAATATTTGGTTTATTTATCAATTATTTTATTTTTTAGTTTATTTATTATTTATTTTATTTATTACTTACTTTATTTATTACTTATTTTATTTATCAATTATTTTATTTAACAATTATTTTATCTACTATTTAGTTTATATATTATTTAGTTTATTTATTATTTAGTTTATTTATTATTAAGTTTATTTACTTTTTATTTTATTTACAAATATTTCTTTATTTATTTTACCAACATTTTATACTTTACAATTTATTAATTAAACATTCCATAATTAATTAATTAATACATAAATTATAATTTACAAAATTTAGATTCATCTAATTTGCAGAGTACTTTCGTAAAATGTTGTAAATTTTCAGCGCAAATTGCAAAATTATTCAAAGTAGGTAATTTTTAAATTAGTTAATAAATTATACTGACAATTTGGAAAATTTTACAAAATTGCTCTACAAATCGTAGACTATTTTGAATTTTTCGAATCAATATTTATCCCAAAAATACAGAAAGTTTTCTAAACTTTGAACTAGGGTTTATATTTAAATTCTTTTTATTATTTTTTAAAATATTTTCTATTATTTTTTTTTGTGATTTTTTATAATTTATTTATTTATCTATTTATTTATAGACAAGTAAAGCTCTTTCGTACAAATTGTTCGAATAAATATAATAACAAAATTATTATTATTTATTTCTCGTCTATAAATGAATAAAAAAATAGAATATTTTATTATTATTTTTAATATTATATTATTAAGTAAGTATACATTAATTATTCGTGCCTTTTGGTTTTAAACTTGCATTATATTTATACTATTATTTTTTTACACGTGCATTAGAAATTGAACTAGAATTTAAATGATAAGAATTAATTTAAAATATTAAAAAATAAATTTTTCTATTTAAAATACAATTTTATTTTTCCAATATATTCTTCGGGAACATTAAATATTTTTTAATATACTGTAAATAATAAAAATATATTTAAAATTTTTTTTTACTTATTCTTTTTTTAATATATTTTTATTTTTTACTGTTCAAGATAATTAAAACTTTTATCTTTTTTACATATTTATTTTTTAAAATAGGCGCCAATGAATTAAAATTTGAACAATTCCAAACTTGATTTTTTATTTTTTCATTATTATTAATATTTTTTTATTTATTATTATTATTATTATTATTATTATTAGTTTTAACTTGTATTTATTTATTATTTTATTAATTGTTTTCACTTTATTTTTCTATTTCTAATAAGTATCATTTATTATTTTTAATTTCTTTTTATTTATTACTTGATATTAATATTTGTGACGCACTAATAAGTAAGATACCTTAGAAGCAAAAAATTTTAGGTTATGTTGATAATTTTTGGAGTAAAAATACAGAAAAAGAATCAAATACTATTTCGAATTATTGATATTAAAGTCTTTATTGCATCCAAGATATTCAATAAAAACGGGTTTCAAGATTACATAATTAAAAAGAAACTTCTAATCAACATAAATCTATCACAAACATAACCTATAATTTTTCGCATCTTAGGTATCGGCCACATTTTTTTTTTAATTTTTAAAATCGATATTATAAATTTGTAACAATATCGAATCCACCGTCAAAAAGATTTTATTTAGATAAAAGTCAAAAAGATTTATTCTATTTTGAAAATATATTTATCGATTCAAAAAAATGTTCGTTTGGATAAAATTTAACCAAAACGAAAATTTTTGAATTTCCAAATGTTCCATCTCAATTCACTAAATATAATGACTTTTGTCAAATGGGGACCTTTGTCACTATTGGACAAATAAAAAAATAAATAAAATAATGATACCAACAGAACCGAAAATAAATCTTCTATGTGGCTTGAAAATATTTTTTTCTCACACATTGCTTTAAATGGAAAATAATGGGTTTTTTTTATAGGCGTGAGTGTATTATTATTTTTGATTGTGTATATATATCTATAGCGCGAGTAAATTACCGATCAGGTTTAGGATATAAGGCAGAGATATTTGTAGGGGAGGACATAAAAAGATTAAAGTAATAGAACCTTACTCAGTGTCTGCCAAGTGAGCCTGCTTGTCTGCCTCTGCCTTCTTGCACATCTACCTCGAAGTTGTTAGTTGCTCTTTGGGTTTAGTTGCGCGAAAGCTACCGGTCGTGGCACACACACGCGATTATCGGTGCCATCGTTTCCATGGATAATAGGTGACGACGAGTCTTTCTCAAATTTTGGATAAAGCATCAACGACAACTGCAAAGACAAGGTTCGTTGTCACTTCAAAAATTTCATTTCTTCATTTACTCCTTTTATTTTATTTATTTACTTTTTATTTCATTTTTCATTCATTATTTTTTATTTACTTTTTTATTTACTTTTTTATTTACTTTTTTATTTACTTTTTTATTTATTATCTGAATTTTATTCTCTTACTGAAAACTTTAATTAAAATCATTGAAAATTTTTATTTCATTCTATTATTGAAAATTTTGACTATTCTACTATTGAAAATTTATTATAATTTGAAAAAAAAAAATTTATTTTTTTATTTTTTTTTAATACTTACCCATGATAATGCGACATGAACAGTTCGAGGGATGGTATAACTGAAACCCTAGTAGAACACCCCCTGAAACAAAATAGTTAAAAAAAAATTTAAGATTACAAACATAATTTTTACTAAAGTTTACTAAAATTTATTTTATACATTTATTTTATAAATTTATATTTATTTCATTTTTATTTACATTTCTTTTACACACTAAAAATGAAAAACGTGGTCAATGAAAAAAAAATAAAATATTTAAAAACTAAAACAAAAAAAAAATAGAAAGAAAATAATAAAATAAAATAGAAGAAAATTTCGTTTCTAAAAATGTTTAAGAAGAAAAATCCAAAATAGAGGAATGATATAATAAATAAAGTTTGATATAATTAAATCTTGAGAATAATTGAAGCAAAGTCACGTATAAATGAAGTCATTAAGTTGCAATTTAAATGACTCCACTAAGTATATTTAAAACTTATATATTCGTAATTAAACAAGGTGTGTTAAAGTCCGGTATTTTGTTTAGTATTTTTTTTTCCTTTTTTTGCACCTTTCTTCGACAATAATGTTTAACAGCAAAATCGTTTACCACTTTTTAAACAGCGGTACTAAAAAATATATTATTTAAATTTAAAGTAAACAAAGGAACAAGATAAATTGTCTTTCAACTATATTTCGTTTAGTAAAAAATTCCCATTCAAACTCAATAAACAGAAATTAAATTTGTGTTATCAACTATATATACTTAAAAGTATGCATTTACATTAAAATTTACAATATTAATTAAAAAAATTTTTTCAAGTTTTTTCTCTTCTTTAATTTATACTTTTAATTTAATTCAAAGTATTGACAACTATAGAAAACAAATATACTTTTCTTATCTATCAATAATCAAAAGTTTTCAAATAGAATAAAAAATTAATAATAAAATATTAAATAAATTTGAAATTAGTTTTTTCAATTAAGATGTTAACTGAAATTTTAATTTCAATTTTAATTCAAATATTAATTCAAATATTAATTCAAATTACAATTTAACTATGAATTCAAATTTTAATTTTAATTATAATTCAAATATTAGTTCCAATTTTACTTCAAATGTAAATTCAAATTTTAATTCAAATATTAATTCAAAATTTTAATTCAAATATGAATTCAAAATTTTAATTCAAATATGAATTCAAATTTTAATTCAAATATTAATTCAAAATTTTAATTCAAATATGAATTCAAATTTTAATTCAAATATTAATTCAAAATTTTAATTCAAATATTAATTCAAAATTTTAATTCAAATTACAATTCAAAAAATTCAAATATTAATTCAAATAGAAATCAGTGGAAAATTTCCACACAAACTGTACAATTTTAAATAGAAAATAATTCAATTAAACCCACAGTATAAATTAATGTTAAACAAATTATAATATAATCAAATTTTCTGCATTGGAACAAAGAATTTCTTTCTGCTATAAAAGACAAAAGAGCAAAAAAAAAAGAAACAATTATTTTTGTTATTAACAAAATTAAACAAAAAAATTTTGTTAAAACATGAAGAATGACGTATAAAAGAGAATTTGAAAAACAACTGTAAAATAAATAAAAGATAATAATAAATAATGCGATCGCGTGAACACAAAATAAAACTGGTTGTCTTTTTCCTGGGGGAGAAGGCTTGAAGGAAAACAGTGAAACCAAGAGAAAGAGTACACACACTGCACGTGCTTCTCAGTTTACATTTACTATACATACAGCTAAAATAACGTCAATAATTTTTCCATTCATCGCGAAAGATTATAAACTGCAATTCGAGAATAATTTTATAAACTTCTTTATAGATATATAATTGTCCAGGTCAGTAGTGCGCACGTCATCATTTAATTTTTAGATAATGCGAATTTAATAGTTTTATATCGGATTAGAGCAACTATTTATATATTCATCATTTAAAGAAGAAAATAAAAAATAAAAAATCCATTTTTATCTGGTATATATAGAAATAATAATTTTACCAATTGATATATTTTTTAAAAAATAAATATTACATTTTCATTTACTTGAATTTTTTCATATTTATGTAAATATTTACAACTAATTAACTAATTATGTAAATATTTACCTATATTTTAATATTTAATACAAATATTTTTTTAATATTCGTTATTATTGTTATATTGTTACATTGTCCATATCTCTAAATCTGAATTAATGAAAATTGAATTATTAACATTTGTAAGAATTTTTATTAATTTTTAGTCATTTTTCATTAAAAATTTAGAAAAAAATTGAATAAATAAAAAAAAATTAATTACTAAATGAAATTACTAAAAAAATAAAAACAATACTAAATAAAATATTCACTAATTTTTTGGTCCAATTTTACTATTTTATTTATTAGTTTTTTTATTTTCCACACTTATTTGTAAATAAACCTGATAATTTTTTATTAATAGACATTTTTTTGTTGATAAATAAATTTATAAATTTTAAATATGATATTAAAGTTAAATTAAAATTTCAATCCAAGGGGAATCGAACCCAAAGCGAATAATTTAACCTTTATGTAAGCACTTAACGACTGCGACTATGAGACCTTTCACTTATAAAATTATTTTCATTTCTTTATTTTATTTAAATTTTATTTTACTTTATTTAAAAATAAAAACATTATTTATAACTAAATGATATTTTTATAATTAAACGAGTAAAAATTAAAGTCATCAAAATGAAAAATAGTTCTAAATAGTAAAAAAAATTCAGACCAAAGAGATTTTATTTCACAATTTTTGTGCAACTTCAGTAAAAAGACTTACGTTCTTTAATTCAAAATTGAATTAATTTCTGCTCTAATCATCATTAGTCACACTTAATTATTTTAAAATTTCCTCCAACTGAAATTCATTATTTTTTCTAAACATTCCCAAACAAAAATTATTTAAATAAAGCAACTTCATAATTAAAAGAGAAAAAAATTATATCATCACAAGAAAAATAAAATTATTTTTTCAGAAGGACAATAAAGTTATTTTTCATAAGGACAATAAAGTTATTTTTCATAAAAAAAAAATAAAATAATTTTTTCATGAAAGATATAAAATCGTTTTTTCATTTAAAAAAATAAAATTACGTTTTGATAAAAAAAAAACTACCTTTTGATAAAAAAATAAAATTACTATTTCACAAAGAAAAATAAAATTATTTTTTTATAAAGAAAAGTAAGATTATCTTTCGATAGGAAAAAATAAACAAAAGTATACAATTTTTAAAAATATCAAAAAAATTTAATAAAACGATTAAAATTTAAAACTATAATTTAATCTCTTTTTTAAAAGATTACAAATTATATTTTTAACTCATAAACTCGCTCACGATATATAAAAAATAAAAATACAAATTTAATTTCATAAAAAATAAGTAAACTACTTTATAAGTCAAGTTTTTTTTTCTCTCTCTTATTTTCAAGTCACGTGAAAAAACGAACCGCGTATTTTTCCATTATTAAACAAAAATTACCACCACAATAATAATTGATAAAAGATAAAAGAAACATTGTTCCTGTTAAAGTTTATTTTAAATTTTTTTTCTTCCTTTATCTTTTTTTTATTGTCAACTAGACAAAAAAAAATTGTTTTAACAGAAAGCACTGACCCTCGCAAAAAAAAATATTTCTAGACATTATGTAGTGCATATAAATTTTGTATAATAAACTCACTTGAGAAATATATAATCGTGATGCCTGTAATTATACACCATAAATGGTACACCATAGGAATCATATTTCTTATAACTCGCACTTATATAACTTTTGAATTACATTTTAAGCGCGAGAAATTAATCAAAACTCCCGATAAATTTACTCAATTAAAACCTGTCTGTTGATTTTACAATGATTATTTATTCCTTTATATAAACAATGTTTCATAAAAAGAAAAATAACAACATAATTGAGAACATAATAAGAGATTCCATAAATATCAAAAAGTACTTTGAAGGATTCTTCTCTCATTAAGTCAATGGTAATTACGATTCTAGTTTAAAAAGAACATAAAATAACGGAATAATTATCTTTAAATTATATACACAAAATATGAAGAAAAAAATAAATAATTTTAAACTATATGAAATTGTAAATACGAGAATTATTTTTTCATTATTTGAAAAAATTGACCTATATGTAATATTTATCATTTTATATTTATCAACAACAACAAAAAAATGAAAAAAAAAAGAATTAATATTCTGTCTACGTATTTTGCTCTCTATAATTATTGCCTAGTATTATGTGCGAACCTTATCAAGTTGATAAGATTCAAACGGAAACATAACGATTAGAATAATTTAAAACGTCTTTATACACTTTAATATCGTTACACTTGGACTTCACAAATTTTGCTTTTAATGTGGTTTTTCTATTTCTATTTGTTTTTCATTTAAACTTTTTGTTTACCTCTGTTAACAAAAGAATTTATGTAACACACGCAAAAATTTATATAACATTAAGTTGACAGTTTAATGTAACTTCGAAAAATTGGTTTTCTTTCTAACGAGCCTGTATCATATTTTTAGAACGTTGACTTAAATTACTCGAGAATTTTGCAAATCTATTTTTAATTAGTTTTATACTTTATTTTTCATTTTTTGCTTCTACCATTAATTACATTAATTTAATTTTACTAAATTTTTAACCATAATTCAAATTAGCAATAAAATTTGCTAAT